TTTTAATCCCATAAATAGAGGAAAGTTATAAAAAATAACACGAAAAGATGAGCATCACTGATGATACGATTTTTAACTGGTATTTATTGTATTTTTGAATATATAAAATTTGAAATAAACGAAAATCTCCATGCACCGTAGTTTTTATTTCGTGTAGCATACTTTCGGGCTGCAATTTAAGAATTGTTGTAGCATACTTTCGAGCTGTACGATATTTATTTGGTTTTTATTTAAAAAATTAAAGCATACTTTTGGGGATTTCTATTAAAAAAGTGGCATCTTTTAGGCGGAAGTTCAGATTACAGTTTGACAAGCACTGGTCCAAGTGAGATTCAATTTTTACAGTTTGACAAGCACTGGTCAGAAACTCCCTTTTGGGCGTCCCAAGTGGAGTTTCTGTCCAGTGGCTCTAAAACTGTAAAAATTGAATCTCACTTGGTCCAGTGCTTGTCAAACTGTAAAAATTGAATCTCACTTGGTCCAGTGCTTGTCAAACTGTAATCTGAACTTCCGCCTAAAAGATGCCATATTTTTTAATATAAATCCCCAAAAGTATGCTTTAATTTTTTAAAACAAACGTAAATAAAGATCGTACAGCTCGAAAGTATGCTACAAAAATTCTTAAATTGCAGCGCGAAAGTATGCTACAAGAAATTAAAACTACGGTGCAGCATCAAAAATTTCCAGTCTTCCTGAAAGGTATTTTGATTTTATTTTGGGAAGCAGTCATTTCCGACCCCATAAACCATATATATTCTTGATCAGCATCACCAGGCGCGTCTTTCTAGCCATGTCCGGACGTAATTTAATTTTGAGCCATTTTTGCAAAAAAATGAAAGGGGTTACATCATGATTTTTTTCAAAATTTGACCTAAAATTTGATTTTTAATTTAGTATGCAGATTTGTTAACCTAGGAAAAACTAGTATAAAAAAGCTTTCCGAACTGAAATTAATGAATTATTGGCTTAGTTATGGATATATTAATATTCGATTTGTCCCATATAATTAAATACTTACGCTTTAAAATCCGATCCCTGTGCAATATTTTTGCGACATTTTATGATAGTTGTTCCCCTATCTTCCATTTTAACAGGAGTGCATTTTGTGTCAGCCTTGAGAGTTTCATTTTATTCGCTCCCCCTCAAGTCAATTTCAATGTACTGCCTTCGGCATAGAAGGAAACAAAAAACTGCAAAATTGTATTTTACTTTTAAGCTGTCGCCGCGGACTCTGCAAAAAAGAGAAAAAGGCGAGAAGAGGAGAGCCATTCCCTACGACTGGGGAAAAAATAAAATATACGAGATTCGCTCTGTTTTTGTCTAATGTAAAATTGCGACGCTTCGAGTAACGCGCAGATTTTGAGCTTTATAAATTGAAATGTCAGAAAAAGTTGAGGGAGCCGCAGCAGCGCAGACTGACTGACTGACTGAATGACTGACAACCAGCCGGAGCCAGAAACCGAGCACCAAGTCAACTGCAAAACTTTGCCATATTTTATTATTATTGTTTTTCATTTTTTCGGCGTTAGCCAGGAAATTTCACTGCGGCTGGGAATAATATTAATAAAACTTACCACAAACCTTTGCCATTGCTTAAAGTTTAACAACAATATATGGTAAAGAATTTTATTCAAAAAAGTTTCTGGTTCAGCTTAACTTTATACAAATTATAACTTACAAAATACAAAAATCAATCATCATCATGAGAGAACATTGTATTTAATTTATGCACTTAACTTAATTAATTATCCATTAATACGTAATTGTGTAAATTGTTTTAAATAATAACATTAATTGCCAGTGTTGTATGGATGGAAATCGTTTTAGGAAAGGGACAAGTAAAATCGAAATTAATTGTAATAAAATACTTTCGGATTCGCAAGAGGTTTTCCGCTGAAAATAATATTCCTTTCTGTATATATTTCCTTTTTTGTTTTTATTTAATTTTTTAAATGCTTTGTTCTGGCAGCCTAAAGTTTTTATAGTCGGTAGTATTTATTTGCCTGTGTAGAAATAATTTAAGGTTTATCTAAATAATCTTTACTTCAATTTTGCATAATTGTTTCATACTGTTTTTGTTGTGTGTTTGTTTTTGTTTGCATTTTGTCTTAAATTTACATTTAGCTTAAATGCGAGACATTTATGTAAATAATTGAGATTTTTCAAATGTTTTTACTTTCTCTTGCCTATGTTTATGTAAATTTTATTTATATATAGTTTGTTTTGCAAATGTTCTTTTAGCTTATTAAGGTTTTCATTTTCATTTTTATTCTTTCTTTTTTATGTTTGTTGTAAATTTGATTTAATGTTGGAGGAGGGAGGACTACATATTGTGGGGGGTAGGGAGTGTGTCTTGTGTCTAGATTTCTGTGCGGAGAATTAAGTTTATTTTTTGCATTGTTACGTTTACATTAATGAATTTAGTTTCACATTTCATTTAGATTTTAGTACACAGACATTCAAGAAGTTTTTGGAAAACCACTTACGACATTTTATTCTTTTGTTTTCTTGCATTCTTAATATCATTGTAAAGTTTATGTTTAGGTTTTGTTGCATTGGGTTCTTGTTTATTATTTTCTCTGCTCCTTTTGTGCATTAATTTTTGTGTTTTTCTCTCAGCCTCCCGCGGTGTTTACTTTTTACCCTCGCCTTCCTTCTGCACATAGACTATTTCGGCATATTCCGTTGAACTTTTGCCGGCATTTCCTTCGGGTGTTGTTGCTGTTGTTGTTGTGGGTGCTGTTGTTGTTGTTGCAGGTGGTGATGTTGCTGTAGCTGATTCATTGGCTGGTTTTAGTACAAGTTCAGCATAGACGAGTTGTTTGTCTTGCTAAATAATAAGTAGAAATAACGTTATTAGTATTTTTGTTTTTAAAAATTAAAAATTCAATAGAGAAATTTAATTTTGAGGCTCTTTTTTAATAGGGGAATTTGCTATACCTTTTTCTATTTTGCTTTACTTAAATGTCCACACTGGTGAGGTGCTCTGCCAAATTATAGCCTTTATTTGCATATATAGTATATGTATAATACAACAACAGTTTTATTTGCATGCGTTTTTGTTTTTGTTTCGAACGGAAAGAGCAGAAAATGGCAAAGAAAATTATGTAGAAAAGTTTGTTTGTGATAATAGCAAAAGGAAAATTATAAAAAATAATTTAAGTATATATATTTTGCTCAAAAGCTTGCAGCTAAGGATAAAGGAACTAGGCTAAGGCTTAAAGGTAACTACAATTCGCTCAGTCAACCATACACGCACACACATGAGAAGTACTTACAGAGGAAGAAAAATATTAGCTAAATCAGCCCGTTGTATCAGATTTATAGAGACGGTTTTTAAAGTGTTCTAAGATATTTTATGGAAATTTTTAAAAAGGAACTTGGTTCTTGAAAAGGTTTCTAAAAATATGCTGTACAAGTAGCTGTGCTCCACGTAATTTCATTGCACTTATTTAAGTGAGTCTTCAAGGATTCGTATAAGTCCTAAGATATTTATAACATAAAAAGAAATGTCACTGAAATTTCTATGAACCGAAAAGTTACTGCTAAAAGGCGATTGATTTACAATTTGTTGCTTTTCTCATAATAGTATGATTTTCATATTAAAGCTGATGTATTCATAGAAAGTCTGTCTTTGGAGTTTATGAAGCCTTTGACGGTTTATAAATATATTTATAATATATATTTATTTCTGCGAGTGCATGGGCACAGAACGACAGTGGGCGGGCGGAGGCGTAAGGAAAATGTATACAGAAGGAAGAGAGAATTGTGTGTGTCGGGTGGGACGGTTTTTAATACCTTTGGTTCATTGTCATTGCCATCCATGATGGCATTGTTGCCCTCCTGTTCGGCGGTGTTGCCCTCCACAATATTCGCCGACTCCTGGTTGTTATCCTTGTCCTTGTTTTTCCGCGTATCCTTTTCGTTGAAACGCTTCAAAATTGCCACGGCAAAGGCGGGCAATCTTTTGGCCTTCTTCTGCTGCTGCTGCTGCTGTTGTTGCTGGGACTCTGGACTGTTCTCCTGTTCGTTAACGGTATCGTCCTCCTCCTCCTCCCCACCGGACACGCCCACTACGCCCATGGTCGTGGTAGCTGTGGCCGTTGAGGTGGCCTTAATGTCGGCGCTTTCGGTGTCGCTGCTGCTTGTCGGTGGAAGTATGTGTGTGTGCGAGTGTGAAAATTGGTGGAAGGTATTTTTTATGGATTGAGCATGATTTTTATGTTTGATTTGATTTGTTTCGCTACTAATTACTGCTGCTTGTCGGTCGAAATATTTCAGGTTAACATAAAAGCTAGGTGGCCGTTCGGGTTAGTCGTGTGTGTGTGTGTGGTTAGAAGTCGTCTTAACTTGGCACTTTTCTGGGATTATTAAAGGACTCCCTCACACTATCTCTGGTTGTTAGTGGGCTTAAAACGAACTTTTGTTTTTGTTGGGGTAAATGGCGTAATTGTTATTGCTGTGTGTTGTGGGTGCGTGTGTGTGTGTGCTTGGATCCGTTAAAACCGGCAAATTGTGTTAGCGAAAAGCAAAAATATTTCAAGAGGGTAAAGTTTGGTATCTCATTCAAATTACAAATTGTTGTTGGGCAAGGAATTTGATAGCTAGAAGTTTTTCACTTTGTACTAATTTTTATACCCTTGCAGGGTATTAACAGCATTGAATTTGATGTTTGTTTTGGCTAAGTTTGATTGGCTTAGAAAATTACCATAAAAAATATGGAAAAATCTCAATTTAAAAAATTCAAATATTTTCGGTCTTCCTGAAGGGTATTTTGATTTTATGTTGGGAAGCAGTCATTTCCGACCTCATAAACCATATATATTCTTGATCAGCATCACCAGGCGCGTCTTTCTAGCCATCTCCGGAAGAATTTTAATTTTGAGCCATTTTTGCAAAAAAATGAAAGGGGTTACATCATTAAAATTCTCAAAAATCGAAAAAAATTTTGATTTTAAATTAAGTATGCAGATTTGTTAACGTAACAAAAATTAGTATAGAAAAGCTTTCCGAACTGAAATTAATGCATTTTTGGCTTTATTTTAGGTGCGACCCTTGATCCAATTGTAACCTGCAAGGGCATACAAATTTCGGCTTAACAAAGTTAGTTGTTCCGGGGGAAGTTTACCAGAATTTTTAATTTTAAACGGACGGAGTTGCAAGGCAATTACCTTGAAACTGCAACTTACTTGCCCTGATAATAATTCTTTTTAAGCTACTTTAAGGGCTCCTCCCATTTCGACCCTTAACCCATTTTGACCATTATACGTTCCCTTTCGCTTTGGCCAAAATGAGGTCCATTTATATTCCATAAATATTTTTCGGCTCATTTGAATGTCTGCCTGCCTGTCTGTCTGCCTGAAGTCTGGAAAAGTTCAACAAGTATCTGCCAGATACATTTTCCTACCTACACGTATCTGAAAGTGTGTTCGTGCTTGTATTTGTGTGTTTCTATATGTACAATACGTTGCGTGTTAGTCCCTCATATATGTATAAATATATGAAATTGCTATTGTATTTTAATGATATTGCTTTTGTTATGCTCGCAAAATGTAAAACTGAATGGGGGAAATTCCGCTTTGATATGTGTGTGCAGCATTGTTAGAATTTTTCCTTTCAGGTTGCGTCACTTACACACACACAAAATGCCATTTCATTCAAAACACTCCTCTCACACACACAGTCGCACGTTTTCTCAGTGAAAATAAATAAATACAGACCAGAAAAACTACCGACAAACCCTTCTTGATCTTAACTGTTTTTATTATTATTAAATATTAAACATACGTTTTGTTTAAATTAATGAAAAGGAAAACAACTTGTATCAAAAGGTCCTAGGCTACGGTTATCGTTTTTGTTTAGTTTTTACTTCCTAAATTGTAACTCAAAGTTATACTTTAGGTTTTCTGCTGTCGAAATTAAATACTAACGTGATAAAGTACAGTGTGCTCGGCTTAAGATGAACACTTTCCACTAGTACACAGTGACTACAATATAAATACGTGTAAAAAACAATGATTTTGTCGCTTCATGCTTGCCATGCAAACGCTTCTCCATAAAACGTATTCGATAATAACTTAATTTCATGCCGGCATCAATCTCTCTATGATATGAATTCAGTTTTCATTGATCTTGGTTTTAGGTCTTCAATGTCTGGAGTTTGGTTTTGTTTATGTGTGGGTAAGGAAACGTTTATGAGTAAATACGAAGCTTAAAGACTAATTTTGGAGTCAGTTTTGTGGCCTAACCCGGGAAACTATCGCAGAATTCTTTCGTTTAATTTGATTTTAAATTCTTTAAATAATTTATTTATTATATTTTACTAAGGCACTTGATTTAGTTGGTTCGCTTCTAAAGCCTCTGCAGAACTAGGAGCTCGTTTTAGAAATTTATATATGTTTTTAATTTGGAACTGAACTTTAAACAAGTTTTAGTCAAGGATTTCTACTACATCTCTCTGAAAAATGCTAAAAAATCCTTTATAGTTTTCCTCTTTGCAATTTTCCCTTGGCTTTCCTTTTAAAAATTGCCCGATTTGCCACAAATCTGCTCCATTGCCTTTCTAATCCTGCTGCGCTTCGTTTCCTGTTCCCGAAAAGAGTAGAAAGTAAATAAATATGGATGTCACACGCGCGCACACAGACACAGGGACACGTGGCTCTCTCAGATTTCCGTTTCCTGGGGAATCTTTGGCGTCGTCGGTGTTGCTGGTGTTGCTGGCGTTGCAGTTATATTGTTGCTATTTGTAGCTATTGTGTCTCCGATTTGCGGCTTCTGTGGCTTTGGGGGAGTTGCTGGCGGCGCCTTGGCCTTGCCTCGTCCCGACAGCAGCATGGCCTGCTTCTCGATCAGTTCGCGCTGATCCTTGGGCAGCCAGCGCGAGAATCGCGACTCGGGTATGCCCAGCTGGTTTCCTTTCTGCAGGAGATCCTCATTGCCGTCCTCCTTGTCGCTCGTGGAACTCCTGGAGTTGCGACCTCCGGCCTGGCTCATCAGGATGCTCTTCAGGGGTCGAGTCGTGGGATTATAGACACTGCTCTCGCGATCTGTGCCATACTCGAAGCTGTCGTCGTCGTCGTTGTGCTTGCGTCTCGTCTCCACGGAAAGGCGATCCTGGGTGCCGTTGGTGGTGCCATTGGGCTCTCGCAGCTTGCTTGCGCCCAGCAGGGTGATGCCATTGGGGGTCTCCAGCAAGGCCACGTTTTGGCCGTGGGTCTCCAACTCCAGTTGCTTATCGCTCTGACTGCTCGGTGATTTGGTGGGGTTTTCGGGCATTTTAGATATTTTTTATATTCATTTGTTTATACGGTATTTTAGGGTTTTCGGAGGGGGTTTTTTGTAGGGTTGGTCGCAGTGTGGTTTGTTGTCCGTATAATATATGAAAGTAGTAGAAAAAGAAGACAAAACATGGCAAGAAGGTGGTTTGCGTTTCTTTCTTTTTGCTTATTCATTTATATTATTTTCTATATTGTTATTGTTGTTCTTGTGATGCATTGCAATGTGGCTCTGAAACTATAGAGTCTTATGTTCTTGTTTTCTATGCTTTTGCTTGTTTTTAGATTATACAAATATTTTTGTTGTAATGATTTTTGGACAGCGACTTTTTGTACCTTTTTTAGTAAATGCGTGAGACAGAGAGACAGTATTCAGAGGGTAGGAGAGAGATAGGCAGAGACAGAGACTGACAAACAACGATTTTTTATGTTCATTTTTGGTGGGCGGGCGAGCGAGCAAAGTGGGCGTGGCAGAGCGACTAGCGAGCGTTTTTTAAGAGTGTATAATGTGTGTGTGTGTGACAGCGTGATTTATATTTTTTATAATGGAATTTCATTTTAAAGCTTTTAATTATTTTTTAAAGCTTTCTTCTAATACAAGACGAAACACAGGACTTTATGTGTGTGTGTGTGGTGTGGTATGCGTGTGCTTAGGCTAGGATTTGTAAATTTTCAGTTTTATTTTCTCAAAAGTGTACTATAAACTAGCCTACGATGAGATAATGAGGGCTGCTTCTATGGCTAGAGATGATGTAAATGCACGAAAATTAAATTGAGGCCCCTCGAGACCGAGGGAGAGACGAGACACATGCAAGTAGACGACAAACAAACACACATCCGAAACTACATACGCAAATATTATTTTAGTAAAATGAATAAACGGATTAATGGCATTGGAAAATTAAAACAAAAAATGAAGCAAACCAGATACCGTTGTCGGGTTAATTATGTTTTACATGTGGCCTTATTTTTTGATCACCTTTCTGAATCTATTTTTTGATATATATTTGCGTTCACTGTACTTACGTTTCGTTTGTGGGCGTCTTAATGGATTTTCCTGTTTGGAAGAAACAAAAAGTTTATTAAAAAATACTTTCAAATACAAGATAATTAGTTGCACTAAATAAAAGTGATTTTTCATGATTAATGATAGATGAAAATAGACAAGACAAGACATCCCCAGCCCCAAAAACATCATCATCATCATCAGCATAAACTTGCTACTTTCCTGCACATCAAAAACGTATTTGTTAATTTTTTGTTGTTGTTTATTTTGTTTTTGTTTGTTTACTTTACAAATTTCTAAAATTACAAAAGAACAGCAAGAAAACAAAAACTAATTAAAATAAATCATAGACATGTTTGATTTGATTGAAACGCGAAATAAAACTGAAGGAAAAATACAGTAATTAATTGAAAATGCAAATTGCTGGCAGGTCGAATAGCTTAAATAAATACGGGGACGAGAAAAACCAATATTTGCTGGACAAAATATAATACAATACGTTGGATTATTTCGATTTTGGGTATATATTCGAGTGGACAAGTCAAGTTTTAAGGGATTTGAGATTCGCGACTTACGAAAATTGGTCACTTAAAATTATTTGGCCTAAGTTAAGGTTTTCTTTTGTTTTGTATAATTCTATATATATATATTTCGTTTTTGTTTCCATTATTAGATTGTGCACTTGTTGAGATTTGCATTAAATTATTTGTGTATTTTACGAGAGAGCAAAGTGTGGTAAGGAGTTTAGTTTTCTTTTCTTTTCCCGCTTGCTTTCAGCAAACTGGGGCGCACACACAGCAGAAACTACCCGAGAAAAACTTGGGAATTACAGGGAGTGCGCAGCTAAACTGGCCGAAGAATTGGCTGGGAGTTTTAATGGACGCCTGGCTTAAACGGACGTATTTGGCGGCTTGGGAGCCTCAATGGTGGTTCCGTTCAAATTGTGCTGACTGCCGTTGCCGGCGGCTATAACCGCCGCCGCCGTTGCAGCGGCACTCTTCTTCAAATCGGCCTTCTTTTGCGCCTCCAACTTATCGGTGACGGGGGGCGTGGCCTCCTCCGACTGTTGCGTGGTATCGATATGCTCATCGCCATTATCGCGACCATCCAACTCCTCATCATCTTGGAATTCCGGATGGATCTGGGCCTCGGAATCGGGGCCCACGTCCGTGTTCAGAGTGGCGCCTGTAAAAAACATCGAGAACAACAAAAAGAACTAACATTTAGCTTTGTGTGCAGAGAGAGAGATAGAGAGAGATGGAAAGACAGGGATAGAGAGAGACAGGGCGCCGACTCAATCTCGAAGATACCACAAATTTTCCATATTAAAGTTGAGGTTAGTCCATTTACCAAAGTGATGCTTATCAAGCGGAAAATACAGGGAGATTATATAAATAAAAGTTGGATATCGAGAAAGGGGGAATTAAATTTTACATAGAGGCATATATTTAACATTAAAAGCAACCAAAGTACTATTTTTGGCAAAATTTAGTGACCAATTTTCGGGTTTTTAAATGTTAGCTCTTCTTGTTGTTGTCATCTGTAGACACTTTTGCTCAGCGAGTGAGAGAGAGAGTTGTACAATTGTTTTGGTTAATCTTAAATATCTAATTTTATATATATTTTTTTTAAATAATCCAATAAATAAGAAATAAATAAAATGCAATACCAGCATTTAGCAAGAAAAAACTATGACGCCTTAACAATATTTGGCAGCAAACCAATATATTTCCAGTTTTTTTTTTAATTCTTTTATAATTTTTAGGGATTTTTAAAGTTTGTTTTTCGACGCTTTATTATTTTTTTATTTTAGCCTATAGTTTCAGGCGCCCAATTTTCCTACAATAAATTTGTGTCTCTACCAGACTAAATTTGTTAAAATACTTTGTTTACCATATTCTGTTATCGTTTTAAATTATTTTTACTCTATTTTAAATTAAATGAGAATTTGTTATGATTTTTGAGAATGATTCCTAGGGAATTTTCTAACTCGACTTTTAATTTTTGCTTCTTAGTTTGTATGTAAATTTAAACAAACTTCTTGGGCTCCTTTAACCTTATATATTTTACTTTTATATATATTTTTTATTTTCCCCAAGTTCTAGTTTTACTTTCATTATCTCTTTGATATGTTGAAGCTTTTCTTTTTTGGTAGTAGCACACATTTGCAAGAATTTTTTGCCCGCTCAGTTACGTGTTTTTTCCACCCCGAAACTCGTTGCGAAAGTCAAGTGAAATTTTTTTAATTAGATGAGCTGTCTAGGGCTTGCCGCTCGCTCATCCGGGGGAAAGCTGGAGGAGGAGGAGGAGCCTCCTCCTTCTGCTAGGTTAACGCTAATTAAAATTTAAAAGCCGCACAATGCGTCGAAAGTTAACAACGGCTTGCGGCGAGCCTCAGGTCCCGAAGCCCATATATACATATATGAATTGCAGGATGGATGGGTGGCACATGGTGGAGTTGTGGATGGAGAAGGGGGTGGCTGGGGTGGGTTTTTCGAAGGGGGTGGAGGGGTGAAGTACCTAAAGCCAGATATTGTTAGCATAGCTGATGATGAGACAATAGTGGTGGCCATTATGACGATGATGATGATGTTTTTGTTGATGTGGCTGAGTGGCTAATGACGATGACATTGCGTTGCGCTGCTGTTCGCCCACGAAATTTAAGCAAAAATGTGTGCATGGAAAATAACCGTAAAGAGGTAAGCAGTGGCTGGACTTACCGCCAAAACACCATCGTCCGGTGGCGCGGGCAAAGAGAACCAGGAGGACAATCAGGACCAGGACAGCTACAGCCACCACAATGCCAACAATGGCGGCCACATCGAGGCTGCTGCTGGGCGGTTTGCTCGACGAGCTAATCCGCACCTGGTAGTCCGTCATGCCCAGTTCATTGGTGGCCCGCAGTTGGTACACTTTCGTGGTGTCCTCCAGCGTAAGTCCGGCGATGGCCAAAGTCACATTGTACTCGTCGTTGCCCAAATACTGCGGCTCGTACGCCGAGTAGCGTCCGTCGGTGCGTCCCTGCGACACGATCGCCCCGTCGATGGTCCACTCGATCTTGGGCTGCGGGCTGGCCTTAATGGTGATGTTCACAATGGCAGTGTGGTCCAGATACAGGCCATAAACGGCGGCATCGACTTGATGGATGGGGGCATCTAAATAACAAGGAATTGGAGTTAGAGATGTATTATATACATTTATTTTATGAACTTACATCGCACATTGAGGATGTAGGCTGCCTCCTGGGGCGGCAAACTCTCGCGATCGGTCTGGTGGTGCGAGCGACAGACCAGCTTCCGGTTGCTATCCTCCGGCGACAGATGCCACTGGATCTCCTGCTCGGAGGTCGACAGCACGACGTTGTCGCGAGCGTTGCTGTTAATGTTGGAGGAGGGACGGATGTCCAGGGGTGTGGTCCGCTTGTTGGCCGGCATGTTGTCGATGAACCAAGAGATATTCGCAGGCGGGCGACCATCGCGAACGGTGCAGCGAGCCTTGAATTCGGTGTTCTCGTTGAAGTATCCCTCGCGATTTGGTCGCGTCAGCAGCTCGATAATGGGCTGCTGGGGACGCACTGGGAAATGGAGAGGAAATTATGGGAGTTTTGTTTAGAAAATTGAAAGGTTCCATAGCTAAGGACTACAATAAATTGATGAGGAACTCGAAATCACTCTAAAAACCAACATAAAACTAGTTTTTAAGTTCAATACTCACATGCCACAACCAGATCGATGGTGCCCGACAGCTCCTCGCCCTCGACGCCCAGACTGCACTTGACCTGGCCATTATAGCTGGCCTTCACCCGCTCGATGCTGACGCCGCACTGGCCGGCGGTCAGGCCCGCTCCGTAGTAGGTAAAGCCGGGGGTCTTGCTCCACTCGGGCGACAGGTTGAGGACCTTCTCCTCGCCCGGGATCTCGATGCGGCAATAGTTGATGGATCTGCCGTAGCGGCACAGCAGCTCAGTGCGATCTCCCTCGTTGAGCAGGGCCGTGTTGGGTTCCACGTTCACCTGCTGCGACCAGGTGAGCGCATCTGCAAGAAAAAGCAGAGATAAGTGTAAACAAAAGAGTTGCGTAATTCCCTTAGCAGTGTCTAGTATCTAGTTTCTGGGTATCTGAGTGTCTGAGTATCGCATATCTGAGGTATTTTCTTTTTGTCTCGAGGCACGTTCCACGTTGCAACACTGCAGCGCTCCTAATGTCTCGGTGGCAATCAGGCAAATGACTGTCGCATTTAGCAGACAGACACCTGCACGTTTGCATCTTTAAGATACGCATCTGCCCAGGCATTGCCACTGGCAAACAATGCGGCTGCATTTTCTCATTAAGTTTCAATTAAGTTATACGTTTCGTTGGCTTTATTCCTTTTGGTTTTTGTGTGTGGAAATTTGCTCGCAGTTGAAAAAGTTTTGCTGGGAAAGTTCTCCCGGCTGCAGCTTGTTTGCCATTATTTTTCCAGCGTTTTCTATTTGCCAATTAAGACATTTGAGTATTAAACGTTTTGAGCCAAAGTGGAACTTTCCCCTTGTTTGTTAGTCACTCTTTGTTTGCCTGACTTGGGCTTTGGCTTTGGCTTTGGAGGTTTTGGTGGAGGAAGAGAGAACCTAATTTCTAATGAATTTTGTCAGAGTTTAACCAAAGTGATTTTTGATTTAATTTAAATTAAATCTGGTCCTAAGGCTACTTAAACTGAGTGTCTTAAACTGATGAATGAGACAAGTTTGCATTAAATGCAGATGAAATATAATAAAGTTATTGTTTCTAAATGAATATAAATGTCAGAATATTTAATTTCCTCTGCTTGCTGTTCCATGAATTAGCCATATATTTTAAGATATTTATTTTCTCAAGCTTTTCATGATTCTGAGAATAGAAACGACCTGTTATTATTTGAATTTCGATCAACACTTTTGGGAAATTGCTCTGCGCCCCGGCTAATTTCCGTTAATGAAAGCCACAAAATTGCAAATTGTGGCATAAACATGAGGTGGAGCCCGGGCAGCTGCGGATCAAGGAGCAGGAGTGGGGGCAGCAGGAGACCAGACCCCAAAATGTGCAGCTGCGGCCAAAAGTGAATTGATTTCTTTGCTTCTTGCATGACTGACGGGCTGAGTGAAGTTTTGTTTGGTCAGCCGGAAACGTGCGGAAAGCCAACAGAAAACGGACTGAGATGCATTTGCGTTCGCATTCGACTTTAAAAAGCGGGTCAGCCAGCTGGCCAGCCAGCAGGCCGTCCGTTTCATGTAATGTGAAACTTTTCGCCCGCCCCATGAGATGTCGCTTAACTTTTGACAATTGAGTTGTGCTGCAACGCGTTTTTTCTCTCTTTTTGCTGCATGCTACTGTGTTTTTTTAGTTATTCACACTCGAATTTGTAGACCCTATAAAACCACTTAGAGATCTCTCTGCTCTCTGGCAGCGCACCGCATAAACCAGCTCCCCATCTCACTCCTTCCGAGAAGAAGTTTTGAGCTGCAGCTTGAATTTCCAGAGTCAGCAAAAATCGGTTCACACTTCCCACACAAATAAAAGCGAGGGGATTGCAACAAACTGTGGCGTGGATTTAAACCAAAAATGAAGCGGGTTCCGCCCACGAAGATACCGCGGTATTTGACGAGAAGAATTTCATAAGCAATTCTATTTCTAATCCTTTTGAAGCCACTTTAATAAACTATATATTTGCGAGAAAAGATGTAAGGATTTAAATGCAAAGAATATCATTATTTTCTATAAGAAATCTATCCTTAAAATATGTAAAAAGTTTGTGTAGTTTTTCCACTAAACAAACCCTTTTGTTCTATGAGTAATGGGTATCGAAAAAAAGGGAAACCGTTACAACTGAAGTTGGACAATGTCACATTCACAGCTATGAAAACAAAAAAAGCGAAAAAGAAAAAGCGCGGGCGACGGGCTACATTCGAGACGTTATGTCGACATACGCTCCGTATCCATGTGTGTTTATTCACAGCACAAATCTATTTTTTATCCATTCTTCCTGCTGCTGCTGCTGCTGGTGATTTTTATTTATTTAGCTCTTTTTTGTAGCTGGTCGTCCTCCGGGCTCTCAGATCGCCACTCCGAGTTTTATTTGATGCCGTGTCTGCAGTTTTCACAGGAACGTTTGTCCAGTTCAGTGGCCATGGCTTGGCGGGGCAAGCGTTGCCCCAACTTGAAGTGATTTTCACCCCCATTTCCCTTTAGTTTTTCCCCGTCTATAAATTGTACAAATAGATTTAATTTAATGCCTTCACTCGATTCCCAATAAAAATCAACTTTGGTTTCGGTAAATCCCCATCTCAGACACACACGGCCCCTATTATTGTGGCTATTGTTCCTTTACATTTTCTGATTTTTTTGTTTGTTTTTCTTGTTGCCTCTTTTTGGCCACGTTAGCGTCTTCTGGCCAGGAACGTGATTTTTACTTGAATTTTGTGTGTTGGCCTGTTTTGATTTTCCAACGGGAATATTTTTGGTTAAAGGCTGTGTCCAAAGATGCATTGGAAACAGTGGTGGAAAATGGGTTACTAGAGGGAGAAATCTCAAAATGAAAAACAAAATAATTATGCATAGAAAATATTGTTCTTTCTTGAAGATCAACTATAGATCTAAACGATTTAACCAAATAAAATACTATAAATTCGAAAATAATTAAGGAACCCCCCTCGAAAAATAATAAAAATTTTAATTTTGGTTTTGTTTCATAGGTAAAAATCTGTTAAAATCGTTTTAAATTGTGAAGGAGTCATTTCCGATCCCATAAACCATATATATTCTTGATCAGCATCACGAGGCGCGTCTTTCTAGCCATCTCCGGAAGAATTTTAATTTTGAGCCATTTTTGCAAAAAAATGAAAGGGGTTACATCATTAAAATTCTCAAAAATCTAAAAAAATGTTGATTTTAAATTAAGTATGCAGATTTGTTAACCTAACAAAAACTAGCACAGAGAAGCTTTCCGAATGGAAATTAATGCATTTTTGGCTTAGTTATAATCGATTTCCGAAACGATCTCAAGTCCCAATTGCGTAGTTTTTAAATTTTGGAGTCTCCTGATGCATAAATTTATTACAATTTAATGTAGGCACTTGTTTTATTTGATCTTTTTTAAGATTTTTAAAGAAAAGACTTTAAGGCTTAATTTTCTGTATTTTTCCAAATTTATCCCATTGCAATCATCTCCTTGTTGATTTCAAAAGAGCAAAGAAAAGCGCCGGAGCCTGCACATGTGTGTGCTAGTCTGGGGCTGCTGTCTACCGCAAATTGGTATGCAATTTCCGCAGAATAAAAGGAAAAATCAAATGCCACAAAGGTATATGTATATGCACAACTGAGTTGGAGCTGAAGTTGAAGCTGGAGTCTTTCTATAAGCCTTTGCCGGTAATTTGCAATATATCAGCAACGATTTATCAGCTACCTGCATTCGGGCAATTGCAGAGCAATATAAAAAGATAATTATTGCTGATTTATGGATGGCTTTCCATCTCGAAGCGGCTGGAAGTCAATGCGAGTTAAACAACAGAGTTCAGAGCGCCAAAACTTGTTATTGTTAAACTTCTGGCTTTACAGTTTGTTCACTCTGTGTCTGTGTGTGTGTGTGTGTGCAATTTCTTTTTACCTTTTGTGGACTTTTCGGATTTTCGTTTTTCGGTTTTCGTAGCTATTAATAATGATTGGTTGTTACATCAAATTGCCGTGTCGCGGCCTTTTACTTTTTGCTGACCAGTCTTGACCATTTTCTATTTATTATTGCGATTATTTATGGCCTTTATCAATCAAGTTTTATGTGTACAAATTTATTAGCCCCTGTTTTCTCTTCGCCCCCTTGATTTATGCAGCTGAGAGGTGCAAAAGTGTTAAGCAATAGCCGAAAAGTTGAAAGGAAAGTCTGCAGGAAAAGTGGCACACAGGTGCCTTTTTTCGGCGAAAGTTTCCGAGGGCTTTTCCCTGTAATTTCTTTATTCCTATATATATATTTTTTATTTTCCCGAGATTTAGATATCGACTTGCCCTGGGTGAAAGTAAAGTGAAATGCAGTTGAGGAAAATCAGGAAAAATATGCATTTATGATGCGGTGACAGCTCCACTCCCTTTGATAACACCTCCTTGAACCAGCTGTGGTAGCGAGGCAGGAGGGTAAAGAAAATGGGACCCAAGCAATTGGTCCTGCCCATGGCAATGCCATAGAGTTGACCACCGTTGTCCCGTAAACATATCCCCGGTGGTAAACATATCTCAAAGTTAGCAAGGAAACCAAATGGGCACTCAAATGGTGGCTAGTTGAATCCACAGCGAATAAAGATACTTCCAGAAACCATAGATAAACAAATTACATTTGTATAAACTTTCAAAGACAAATCAGTTCAAAGATGACTGACTTAATCACAGTTGTTACTTCTTAATAAAGCCTATACTACTTGAGCTTCACTATTAAACAAATATTGATTTATGAACTCAAATTTGCATAATTCAAGGCCAGACTTTGCTTTGGGAAATAGCTTGAGATAATTGTTACAGAAAAATTAACATATGCTCCCGCTATGCCCTTCAATCAATAAGCAAGACGCATAAATTTCCAATTGAATTAATAGCCAAGTTTTCGCTTTCAAGTCAGGAACAGACGCTGCACATTTGCATTATTTATGACCCAATTCGAGTGAGTTTCCTTTACATGGCAAACAGTCTGCATTTGTTTTCCGTATTATGGATGTGCTCCTTCGAGGACCTGGAACATGGCAGACATTCCCAGCTGCCAGTTAATTAATGCGAACAGAGACAATGGGTTTTGGGCATCTGCATCTTGCACTTGGCACCCTCTACTTTTCGATGGGCTTATGAGCGTCTTAGTGTAATTACCTGACAATGCAGCCAAGTGGAGACAAGTGGACAAGTGGCCGGCCAGAGCAAACAGTTTGCATATTCAATAGCTCGGCTCCTGCTCCTGCTCCAGCCACTCCGACTTATTAAAGTCGAAGAAATATTATCATAATTAATGCCCAATGCCCCAGCCAGAAGTGCCATTCAGACCGCAAAACT